TCACAACAAAAGAAGTGCAGCCAGGAGGTCAAGGGAGGTGATTCTGCCCCTCTGTTCTGCTGAGACCCCACCTGCAGTGCTGTGTTCAGCTCTGGGGTCCCCATACAAAGGACATGAATCAGTTGGAGTGAGTCCAGAGGAGGGGCATGAGGTTGATTGAGAGTTGGGGCACCTCTCCTGTGAAGACAGGCCGAGAGTTGGGGCTACTCAGCCTGGAAAAGAAATGGCTCTGAGGAGACCTCACAGAAAGCTGCAGAAGAACTCACAGAGGCCTATAGTGATGGACAAGGGAGGATGACCTTAAGCTTAAGGAAGGTAGGTTTAAATTTAATATTAAGAAGTTCTTTGCTGTGAGGGTGGTGAAGCACTGGAAGAGGATACCCAGAAAAGCTGTGGATGACCTATCCCTGGAAGTGTTCAAGGCCAGGTTAAATGGGTCTTTAAGAAATGTGGTCTAGAGGGAGATGTTCCTGCACCGACAGCAAGGGTCTTGGAACTGGGTGATTTTTAATGTTCCTTCCAACCAAGTCATCCTATGATAGTATAGCCCCACCTGATGCTGCAGCTGAAGTGGTGTGAGGAACAGGGATCATTAATCTGGCAGCACTGATGGCTTTGTGCCCTGCTGCCACTGCATGGTCCCAGTCTGCATGCAAGGCAGGCATGAAATCAAGGCATATGAAATCAAGTTGGACATCCTTATCCTCACACTGCTGCCCTTGCCTGCACTTTGTCTTCCAGTTCTGGAGATGGGTGTTTCCTTCCACCATGCAGCCTGTATGGGAGATCCTCACCCCTTTTCCTAAGCAGGGCTGTGCAAATAGGACCATTTCTTGCCTTTCCCCCACATTGTCTGTCCCAGGCAGGTGTTGTGGGTCACAGACTCGCTGTGCAATTGGAGGACATTCAGCAGTAGGAGGGGTCAAGGGAGCTGCAGTGCTCTTCACTGGTACTGAGGACAAGGTGGCTTCTTTCAAAATCATTTTGCAGAGCCTTTTCTAGGAAGGTACATTTGTGGGATGGTGCATTTTTAGAGAATTTTACTGTGTCCCTCAGGTGTATGTGCAGTGCTCAATTTGCTGCAGCATAGAAGAGATGTGGAGTTGGATATAGCTCCATCTTCTCACTAGTTTCCATTTGCTAGGGAACCTCTGGAGTTGCAGCATGAATGCTGATCCCAGTTGATTTGATCAGGAGCTGCTCTTAACTCCAGCAGCTGTTTTTTTGCAGGAAACATTTCAAGAGAGAAGAAACTCACTTCTGAGGCTTAGCCAGTGAAAACAAGTGTGAGTTGCTACAAATGGGCACAGCACCATAGAAGTTAGTGCTGTTTTTCACAATTACAACTGGATCCTTGCATCCTCTTTCTGCAGTGCTCCCTCAAATCACATTGTTGCTGGAATCAGCATATATTAATGTATGTATGTATATATATATTTTTTTTTTTCCTAGTGGGACTGCTTTTTGCCAATAAAGGGTCAGTCATGCCATTTTCTTGCATGCCAGGCTGTCTCCAATTTAGACTGACACACAAGTAGTTGCATGCTGATCTTAGCAGCAAGTAGGCTCTGAGTATCCAGTAGACCTTAAAATAGTGGAAAGAGCACAAAATGTTGTGGGGAGCTGTTGGATGCAAATAGAACTATAGCAATAGTAATGTATCCCCTCTACTTAATGGATGTGCGTGGACATGTTGCCCCATCTGCTGGGCTCTGCTGCAGAAGTGCCACCACAGCAAAGGTTGCTGTTGTCACAGGGAGAAGAGCACTGTCACAGGTGAGGAGGCTCACAAAGGTGTGTGTGAGGGGTGCCCTGCAGTTCTCACACATTATATCAGGCGGAGCCTGGCTATCTTGGGAGTAAACCAGCCCAAAATGTAGAAATAGGAGTGTAACTGTCAGCATGGCACAGGGAGAGGCGCAGAAGTGCCACGACAGCAAAGGTTGCTGTTGTCACAGGGAGAAGAGAACTGTCACAGGTGAGGAGGAGGAGGCTCACAAAGGTGTTATATCAGGCAGAGCCTGGCTGTCTTGGGAGTAAACCACCCCAAAATGTAGAAATAGGAGTGTAGCTGTCAGCATGGCACAGGGAGAGGGAAGCTGTGCAAAGCACCGCAATTTCTGTCCTCGGTGTTTTATGTGTTAAGGACATTTTGCTGCAGCCTGTGGTGTCCCTGCCATCTCTGCTCTGAGTGAGGGGTCATGGCAGTACTTCCTGAGCCCTCGGAGTCGTGCTGGGTGGCTTTGCCCTGGCAGCCAGGAGGAGTCCTTGCCTTGGGAGGGAGGCACAGCCTGGGATCTCCCCCCACTGCACAGCTGCTCCTGAGCTCTGGGTGTAGCTGCTCATTACCAGCAGTTATGTGCTGTGTCTGGGGCTCAGCTCACAGCTTGCAGCACCCCAGGGCAGGGCACATGGGGAGCCTGAGCACCACCTGTTTGCTGTGACAGTGTCCCTGAAGCCAGGCCAGCTCTGAGACAAAACCTCCAGGTACAGCTCTTACAGTAAAACAACAACAGTCCCCTCTTCCCAAGCCAAGAAGGCGAGGCCTGGGCATTGTTTTAGAGAAATGTAGGAAGAAAAAAAGAGAAAATAGTTGTATTTATTTTCAATAACTCATTCAGTTGAACGGGTAAGTAGTTTTACAGTGCTGATTTATGGGCTGTTGCAAAATGCAAGAGCTGCTCACGATTGCAAATTTCATTGATCTTGACTCCAAGAATTTCAGTACAGTAATGTTTTATATAGTTTCTTCTCTCCCCAGTCCTGCCATTTGAAGTAATAAGGATGATTTGCCTTTATGCAGCCCAAGAGGAGACACAAGTCAGATGCTGGGAAGAGAACCTGGGCATCCTGATTTACAGAGCCAGGTCTGCTCCTTTGAGAGGGGAAGCCTTTCGTTACAGAAAAAACTGCCCTGTCTCCATGAGTAACAGCCCATGCTTTATCATGCAGTTAGCAGGCAGTCTCTGCAGGCTCATTGTCTCATTACCACTCTAAGGACACTTGACCATGCCTAGTTCATGGCCTCACCAGCATAAAGCAGTCTGCTGGTTCCAGTTTGCCCTGATCATGGTGGTGATGGGTCATTATGCTCCTTCCCAGGGTGTGAGGCTTCCAGCAGTGGTTCCAGCCTCGGCGCTGCCTGTGGTAGCAGCCATTGTGTGTGATGCTGTGCACTTCTGAAAGATCTGTATGTTTTTAGATGGTGAGCACTCTCCAGATATTTGGGGTTGGGGTTCCTCTGAACAAATGCTTGTGTTCTGGGTAGCTTCACCGCCTTTTCCTAGCCCAATTCATTCTCTTCCTCCAGAAGTAGCACTCTGTCATATGGGTGTTTGGCATACTGCAGGAGGAGCAGTGCAGCTTGCATTTACATTTATGTGTAAACCCGCCAGAAAACATTTCTATTCTTACTGGCCCAGATTCCTCCTGCCCATGACTAACCATTGCTGAGCCACAGGAGTTAGCATCACTGCCTTTAAGTGCTGCAGGCTTATCTTCTCAAAGGTTTATCTCTGCTTTTTAAAATTAAGTATGAATCTGGGGGCAAGCTACATCCCACTGTCTATTTAGGGAAGAATAAATGCCAGAAATCTTGCTTTGGGCCTGTGAAGTCAGTTCAGAAGAATTCAGAAGAAATTGGCTCAAAGAGCATATTGTATTCTGTTTCTCCTCTCAGTCTGAGTTCTTCTAATATCTGCAAATGAGAGAGACTTTGCAGTGTCGTCTGTGGTGAGCCTGTGTGTGATGTGCTGAGACACTGCTCCCAAGGACTGCTGCAGGCAGCACACCCCTCTCCTGTTTGACTCATTTTGGCTTCTCAGACGTCAGGCTGCCCAAGCAAATGCCTCCCAGCAGCTCCAAGAGAGGCACTGGGAAGTGTGCCATGCTGTGCTCTGTCTTGTCAGCGTAGGGAGGCAGGAGGTGCAGTGACAGCAGCTTCTCCGTGTGTCTCAGTTGGCTCTGACAGCGCAGGTTGCTCCCAGGTTTGCTGACACCCTGGGACTGTGCTTTGCTTGCACCGAGTCCCTGCCTGCCTGGGCATCCTGATGGGTTGGAGGAACAGAGTGGAGAAGAGTCCTTGGAAGAGAAATGGGTTTGGACTGTGCTTTTTGTGGTAAAACTGTTTGCTAATGGCAAGAATATTTTTTAAAAGAAAGTAATTAAAGAAAGAAAGCTCTATACAGCTTTTTCTCATGCTTTATGTTTTCCATGTCAGTCCAAGTCTGCTGTGAGCCACACTGAGCCACTGCCTCTTGTTGAACTGTGCTTGGGGTTTGCACCTGGGCACTGCCTGGGAATACAAGAGAATCTGCTGCTGCCTGCTCCATACTGTTCCTTCTGCCCCCTAGGCTCCAGTTCTAAACTTCACTATCAGTGAAGTTTAGAAACAGTCTTTCTGTGTCACTTATTGCTTCTTGTACTCATTGGGCTATCCTGGTGTGCACAGGTGTCACATGAATCCATGACAGGAAGGACAGCCCTCACTTCTGGAACCCACAGTCCAGCTTCTTCTGGCAGGGAAAGTGACCCACAGCATTAAGGGAGGGTTGATGTTTGATTTATTTTCTTTTTTTTCCTCCTGTTTCAGCACGTCAGTTTCCATCTTCGCTATCGTTGTGTATGGATGCACACACACCTCTGGCTTTGTTGTCATCCAAATTTTATCTTCCCACCTATGACTTTTGTGGTAAATTTTCTTGGAGCTCTGTAGAAAGCCTAGTTTTATGCAGGAGTATCCTATTCTGTTGTCCTGATGAGAGATAAATAGCTTGGCATAAACGTAGGAGGTGTGCAAATGAAAACAGAAGTTTCCAGGTTCTCTAGAAATGAGCACAATGTTCTTGCTCTGTTTTATAAAAGCTCAGTTTGCTTTCATTGAAAACACTACAGTTTTGTCTCTGATTTTAATGGGGACAGGACCAAGGGCTGTGGGGGGCAGAACTGTTTTCCTCCTGCAGACTTGCAGGCCTAAAGCACCTTGTTGTTCCTGGCTGCAGAGCGCTGCGATGACTGGGGTGTGGACACCATGAAGCAGATCCAGATTTATGATGGGGAACCTGCCAAGATCAAATGCCCACTTTTTGAGACCTTCTTGAAGTACAACTATAGCACAGCCCATTCTGCTGGCTTAACCCTGATCTGGTACAGGATCGCGCAGGACCGGGATCTGGAGGAGCCCATTAATTATCGCCTCCCTGACAATCACATCAGTAAGGATAAAGACACCCTTTGGTTCTGGCCTGCTCTTCTCAATGACACTGGGAATTACACCTGCATGCTCAGGTAGGTTGTGTGGTGCAGTTTCTGTACATCTTCAGTGCAATCAAAGGACTTTTATGGAGGTGGGGAAATTATGCTGTTAGCACCAGAACTTCCTGTGGGGAGACTACCATTTACAAAAGCATTAATGGGAAAAGAATGTTGCAATTATAGGACTGCTCAGTGCTGAGCCAATTTACATGGCAATAATGCTTGGAGCCTTGCAGACACTAATGAGTGTGTCTGTCCTTGCTGCAAGTGTCCGTGAAAATATTATTGCTGAGCCCATGGCAAAATCCACAGGCACTCGCCATTAAGAAGTGATCTGCATGTCTAGAGTAAAAATAGCTTCAGATGCAGGGGTAATGTTTTGACTGCGTGCTAATTTGGCAAAGATTCATGAGATTCAGACTTCTAGGAAATTAAGAGTGTCTCTAACTGTGGTGCAAAATGAACATAGCGTCTGCTGTGCGTAAGAGTTCTTTTTGGTCTTGCTCATGTTGTCTTTTGTCTGTGTCTTTGACCTTATGATCTGCTTTAGCAGCAGGAGAGTGGATGTTGCTTGTTAGTCATCTTTATAGGCTTTTGTGAACTTGTGTGGCCACCTCTGGTGGGGTTTTCTTTCCCATTTATAAATGAGTCAACTAAGGCTGTACATACCTCATCAGCGCTATGATGCTTGTTATTGCAGATGTAATTTTTATTTCATTCCACTCCACTGCTGTAGGAGTAAACAAGTTTCAACTAATCAGCCCTGTTCTCATCCACCCTTAGGAACACAACCTACTGCAGCAAAGTTGCTTTTCCCTTGGAAGTTGTTCCAAAAGACCAGCACTCTTGTGTGAGCCATTCCATAAAACCCATGGAGGAGATGTTCTACTTGGAGCATGCCAATCAGAAGATCACATGTCCAGATATTGATGGGTTTTACCCTGCTAGTGTGACACCAACTGTCAAGTGGTACCTGGTAAGAAGAACTTACTTGGGCAGCAGGGGGATGCAGTGGTGTGTGTGAAAAAGCAGTGGTTGGCATGGCAGTCATGGAACTGCGTTTCAGAGTCTCCCCAGTGATGATACTGTTAATGAAGCTTTACTAATTTTAAGAGCTCTGCTTCCAATGAGTTCATGGGTAAAACTGCTCTTGGAAAGAAATTGAGAGCTAACACTGAAGTTTTTTTGACCAGCGTGCACAAGTGAAAAATACTCCTAGGAGGGATTTAGGTGGCTCAGTTCAGTTATGGGCAGTGTGCCTGACCTGCTGTGTGTGAGCCTCTAACTTTCCTGGAAAGGAAGCTGTCATTCATATTCCCTCTTCTTTAAAAAAACCCACCTGTTCATGAAAATTGCATCCTTTCCAAAATCCTCTGAGGTCAGGAAGTGAAGTTGTACATCAGGCAAAGACAATGGGTGTCCTGTTTGACACAATTCAGCAAACCTCTTTTCTGAAGACTGATACATCTCTACCCCACCCTCCATACTTTTCTGATTATTAGACTGTCTCCAGCCATCCTCAGGCTCTTGCCTACAGAATTACTGCTCAATTTTATTAAATATTATTTCACTCTTTCTCTCTAGGTGGATGCCTTTAGTCAGTAGAGAACAAGAAGTCTCAGGGGATGTAAAGTCTGAGAGTTATGGGAATAAATTCTTGAAGAACATCCTATACAGTGCTTTTGTATTTCTAGATAGAAGATTTTGTATAAATGAATTCAATAATAAGGGAAATTGTCAACAAATGTATCTGCTGATTTAAAAAAGAAATTAAAATGACCCAAAAGGAAAATCCCACCTCTAAAACCCTTCAGGAGAAACTTCCTCTCGTATCAAGAGGAGTCATTTTACTTCAGTAATTGAAATGCTTTACTTGTATCGTTCATTGAAATTCACATCTCGGCAATCAATTAGCAGAATGAAACAAAAAGCCCCTTGGAAGTAATTTTTCAGGCAGCAAGTCATCCCATGCCTAATAAAAGTCATTAAAAATGGTATATGACCCCTGTCCTAAACTGCCCCATTAGGATGTATCAGATTTGGAAATGTACCATTCAAAAACAATCTCTTAGAAAATGTGCGCATCTTTGGGTTTTATGACAATCAAGATGTTATCTGCATAGCCTCTTTCTGAAAAGGGATCTCTAGCTTGGTATTTTGGCAGTTTTTCTGCCTTGCCTGACAGAAAGAGAGGAGTTATTAAGGTTTATGTACTATAGATTCTCATTTGCTATTTGCAAATTCTGGGGCCTCATCCTGAGCTGAAGGCAGCCAAGAGAACTTGATTAGTCCCGAAAGATGGACATCAATGGGGTACATGTCCTTTAGTCTTGGTATCCATTTGTGAATACGTCATCATTTTCTTCTTATCACTTTTTACTTTATTCTTCACTCTGCTGAGGTGCTCGCTTTGATTGCCAAGGTACTTCTGAATCAGAGATCTCTCCTTTATAAAATTGTCTGTGTTTAAAGTGGGATAAAGTTATTAGGGTGATCTGCTTCATCACTTCATTTTCAAGGTGAACATAGCAGTCTATATTGCAACATGCTCAAAGTTCATGGTATTTAGGTCTGACCTACATCATGATCCCAAGTGTCATATTAATAGTTTAAATGAGATCTTTGTAGAAGCATTTAAACCAATATCTGCGCTTTTGAGTCCCAAAGTCATGTATTTTTCTGCCTGACTCCAGAACTGCAACTTGGTGGATGGCTTCTATGAGCGATATCCCCAGGGGCCCAGGCTTGTCATTGGCATTGTCCGCAGTGCCTATAAAGGGAATTACACTTGCATTGTGACATTCAAGGACCACGGAAGAACCTATAATCTCACCAGAACCATAAAGATGAAGGTGGTGGGTAAGAATGACTTTAAAATGTGTAAAATGCATGTGGGTGTCTGCAGAAGTGGTAAAAACAGCTGGAAGAGTTTGTTGCAGGATCCATTTGTGGTTGTAGTCAATCTGCGTTACCCAATTCACCTGACAGTTTTTTTCTTGCTGGGGTCAGACTTGTGTGACTGTCCAGAACATACTGCAGTAGGTGTCTCCTACCACCCTGTCAAATGCCCCAAACACGGAGTGGCCAGCCTCAGGGTGGTGAGGTTCAGCCCATGAGATGGCCAGGGGTACCCTCTGCTGGCATGTGACTGCATAACCTTGGCACTCCTGCTCGTGGTCTCCTGTGCCCTTTGCTCATCACTATTTGTGGGATTCTCACTTCATAGCCAACTTGTCTTGGTCGTCTTGGAATCTCAAAGTCATTTGTGCTGGGGTTGAGACTGCTAATCAGCTAGGCAGAGCTCCAGGTACTCACTGCTTGGACACATCTGTTCCAGGCACAGAGGCTCAGCCTACCTGCCAGGGAATTGCAGAATTTAAAAACCTAGTGAGCTGTAGGATACATTCTGAGTTCCTCAGAAACAGCTGTTTTAAGGGTTGAAATGGATATTTGTGACACGAAATGAGGTTTGTATTTTGTTTTTTAGAGCAGCAGTAAAAACAAACTGGTGCAGGTTATGCCTTGTGGGAGATGAGAAGGTTATGGAGCTCTTCTCATGTGAGAGGCCCAAACTAGCTTACCTAAACTTTGGAGGAGCCTTAAAATCAGGACCTGGCTCTGAGTTTGGGGACTAGGATTAGATTTGTGTGTGCACAGAACTCCACCACGAGCAGGAATGCACCACGAGTTAGACTGGAGAACGTGCAGCGCAGCACGAGGACATTGGGAGTGAGGCTGCAAGAATTCCAGGTTTTCATGAAGTCTGGGGCCCCACGGGGGCTCTGTGTTGTCTCCTGCAGGATCTCCAAACAAGGCCTTGCCACCACAGTTCACCTCTCCAAATGAGAAGGTTGTGTACGAACTGGAAGCAGGTAAAGTCCAACACTCACAGCGTGCCAGTGGGACAGGGAGACCCAGCCAGGCACAAAGCTCTCCCACTGCGTCCCTGGTGCTTTCCCTCTCAGAGCACTTGAGCTGCCATGGGTTGCCTGGTGGACAGTGTGGGATGGTAGTTTTTGATGGAGAGCACAGCTTTAAAAGCTGATTTTTTGCAAGATATTCTGATGATACAGAACTGCAGCTGCAGAAGCAGATGAAACGGGGACACTCAGCTGCTTAGGAGAATTCCTGTAGGACCTTGTTTCAGCCCTGGCCCGGGCTGTGGTTTGCTCCCATCCTCCCTCATTCACCCCTAGAGTGGCATTAGTCTTTTAGCCAATTCTTGCTCATCTCCCCTTTTATTGGCTGATGACTTCCTAATTAATGACAGCTCTCCTTCTGCTGACCTCGCGGCACTGGGTAATGGGGTACCACACCCTTTTCCTCAGCCCTTCCCCCACACCGTCTTTTGCCTAATAGCTTTTTGGAGCAATTCCCTATATCAAATGGATTGTGTCCCATTACATTGCTGTAATAAATGTGGTGGCAATGATGATGATTAGCACCGGAGTCTTCACTTTAAAGAACAGTTCTTTTGGCTCAGAAGGTCAGATTACATCCATAGTCCTCTGTAACATAAAGTCACTTACTGATCACCAATATATTCACGCTCCCAAGTCTGATCTTGAGCAGAAGTCAAATTACTGAAGAAGTATTTCCAAACCAAAATGTTTTTGTGGAGCTTGATCCTTCACTTTGTGGCATCTGTGCAGTGGGATTGATTAGCAAAGGATTTCCAAAGAAGTGGTTGGCATGGAGCCTGTCTCTTTGGGTGGGTCACTTTGTGCAGTCAAGGAATTTGTAACACATTTGAGAAGGCAGGACATCTTTTTCTATTTATGTCTGTCACAAATCCTCATGTCCAGGGATGTTAAGCTGTTATTATAGTTTATGTCAGAAAGTGGATGTTGGCCTCATTCTTTCCTGAAGGGAGGCAGAGCTTAGGCTGGTAGGATTTTGGAAAGCACTGAAGTGAGGGGGGTGCTGTTCCTGCACTGCAATACCTTTTCTCCTAGGAGATGATGGTCCTTTCTTTGCAGGTGATGACCTTATCCTGCCCTGTGAGGTTTTCTTCACTTTCCTGAAGGACTCCCGGACTGAGGTGTGGTGGACCATAGATGGGAGAAACACAGATGACATCACAGACCCCAAGATAAAAGTCACACAAAGGTAACATCTAATGTGAACCTTCATGTCTAATCCCCTGGGGGTGTGTGGGTACAGGCGTGTGACAGTCCTAATGGAGTGTGCAGTCTCCGTGTCAGTCAGAAGTCTCTGTGTCTGCACCATGCTGTGATGAGCAGCAGGACCTCCAAGGAGGAGGCTTCCAGACCTGGACAGTGTCATATCTTACAGATGGATTTGAGGGAGCTTTGTTAACCAGTTCACATTATCATTTGTTCTGGTAGCGATGCCAACAGCTGCTGTTGTTTTGGGACTTATAAAACAGGGGCTAGCAATTCTATTTAGAGGAGTGTTCCCAAATAGCATAGGGTATAAAAGTGTTTCAGAAAAACAGAGGCTGAAAACAAAAATGTGATATTATACACATTATCCTATAGTGTTATAGGATTAGGAAGAATAGAGATTCAATCACATAAAGAACCCATATGAGGATCGAAGTCCCATTTGCTGGATGCTGAGTTACAAGTGGAAGGCAGTCACTGCCCCAGCTGATTTGCAAACCAGTGTAGAAAAAGGAAAGGCAAAAGAAAATACTGTATCCTCATTTTGCAGACGGTCAATTCAGGCAGAGAGAGACAAAGTGACTCATCCAGGACTGCATAGGGAATGTGACGTGAGCTGTGAATCTTGAGTTCATGAGATCTTCTTGTTTATAGGCAAGAACTTCCATTTCCTCTAAAAGGCAATGTGGCACAGCTGCAATGAGAAAATTATGAGCAGTAAAATAAATATTAAGGAAAATCAGATAAAGGAATAGCTGCAGCTGTATTACAATCTGAAGTGTATATTGATTTATAAATATCAAGTTATGTGTTTTGGCCTTTGTAAAGGAGGAGGTTATATCGGGAAAGGAATACCTGTCACTAAAAACTTGCTGCACTTTCACATGTGTTTTTCTCTTACAGTGAAATTACTAGAGATTTTGAAGACAAAACTCTGGTGAGGACTCTAACAGTTGCAAAGGCCACAGCGGAGGAGCTGAAGCGGAATTACACCTGCCACGCCAGGAACGCCAAAGGCGAGGAGCGCAGCCAGGCCGTGGTGCGCGTGAAAGGTACGGCGCCTGCAGGGCAGGGTGTGCTGGGGGGCTCCTGCTGCTGCCTTCAGCCTTGCCCTGCAAAACAGTAAGGGGGAAAAGAGTTCCATCAGGCCTTTCTGCCTAACACTGTTCTCTAGGCACTGCTGTCATACTGCACCACTTCTCGGAGGCAAAGGGAACAAAGAGCCCCCCATGGGCAAGTTCGTGGGTAGAGAAAGGACAGATCTGTTGTCTTCATCCCATGCCTGTACCACAGCTGAAGCAGAGCTGAGGGCACAGGCTGCTTGAAATGATTTCAGGTTATTTGGTTGTGTGAGGGTTTTGCATGACACAACAGCTAGCAGTTGGCATCCTCCAGAAGACAGTCTGCAGTCGCTGGCATTGCTCAGGGAGTGAGACAGTCACACCACAGCACTCTCTGGTTTTACTCCTTGCTGTCATGATGCTGCAGTCTAGATACAGCCACCTCAGCATGGATGGTATAGACTGACTGATTCAGCTCTGTTCTGTGTGGGGTTTTCCAGCATTGCTTTTTCATCAGAGATTTGGTTCTTGTTTCCCAGACCCTCCTCTCAGTAATAAAAGCTATGTGAGGCTTCCTGATTAAGGTGGGTTTTTCTGCCTCCTTATTAGCCTCATCTAGAGCTTCAACACCTGCTTTTACTGTAAGCCAGACCTCCCCTCTCCCACAGGGAATGCTGCCATGGCTTGTGTAGCTCACACCAGACACCTTCTTCCCTCTACTCTGCATTACAAGCATGGAAAAGCTCTTGGAGGTCTTTACTGGAAGATCTTTTTCTTCTTGTTACTTGTCCTCCTTCTATTTTAGTCTCATTCAATTGAGACAAACCTTTTCTGGATTGTTAGGGAGGAACAATAGACCACACACATAACTGAGAAAGGCTGAAACCATCTGTCAGTGAGTTCTGGTGTGATAATATTTGTACATGTAGCAAAGTGAATCTGAAATACTCCTATTCTTTCTCTAAATATCAGTGCCTAAATACTGTTTTCTAGTGGACTGATCTGTACTATTCTCCCTTTTCCTCCCCGTGTCTGTTCTTGGTTAGTTGACTGGGTTTGCTCTGAGCAGACATGGTTACCCACCACTCCTTCTTCCTGCTCTATTCCACAGCAAAGTCCAAGAGCCATCCCTAGCTGCTGCTGGCAGAGCAACTTTATGCTAAGCTCAGTGCAGCCCATCCCTCTGCACATTTCATAGGAGCATCAGGCATGCCAGAACCTAGCCCCTCAGCACCTGGCTTTCAGCAAGTGGCTCTGTATGTTGCCTCCAACTCTTCCATTACATGAGGTCATATACATTTCTTGCTTTTTCTGGATGATTTCTCTCTCCTTCTCTACTTCTGCTGCTCATCACCTAATGAACATTGATAAATTCCTTCCATTTTTGATTTTGTAATTCAGTTTTATTAGCAACTTAATAAATATTGGAATTTGGTGATGTTTCCACTCCCTGTTGTTCTGTTATTGTGCAGTTTGCCAATTTGCACATCAACTGCCACCAACAGAGTCGCCCAGGGATACAGTCAGAAATTTTCTGTCCTTAGTACAAAGAAGCAGCAATGGTGTGACAGACAGTTCATGAGTTGGAGGGGGCCTGTGATGTTCTGGCTTGATGCCTGCAGGTTGCCCTGTTTATTTGCAAGCATTTCAGCTTTTCTGTAAGGAACTCTGATTCCTCTTTCATGGTGGAAAAGAGTCAGGCCATGGCTAGTTATATCCTGGGTGTCAGTGTGGGACAAGACACAAGACCTGTGTCTGATAGGGAGGGAGAAAGGTAACCATTGCCTTTATTTTGCTGCAGAGTCTTTATCTGGATCTCTTAGAAATCAGAGCAGTTGTGTTCCCCCAAGAGTTTGCTGATACTGCTGAGAAGGTCATGTTCATGTTCTGGCTTTGGACTGTGCAGGTGTCTTCCACCAACAGGTCATTCCATCACCTGGCTGCTCCCAGGGCCTCGCTCAGAGACAGAAGTCCAGCCTGTGCTATGGACTTGCTCTGCCAGCATAACCAGACCTAATAACCCAGAATGGGGCTCCAGGGTGGCCGGCCACCACGTGCCCTGTCAGAAGAGCCTTGGCTTGGCCACCTTAGTGTGAAGGGTCAGCTTGGCTCCTGGCTGCTCCTCTGTGGTGTTTGGCTGCACATGACACAAGCTTGTTCCTGCCCAGCTGAAGGTCCAACCTGTTCTTTAACCCTGACTCCCTGTCTATTTTTGTACTCAGTTGTAGCACCCAAGTACACTGTGGAGCTGGCCTGTGGCCTGGGGGCCACCATCCTGCTCGTTGTGGTGCTCATAGTCATCTATCACGTGTATTGGCTTGAAATGGTCCTCTTCTATCGGGCTCATTTTGGAACAGATGAAACCATTCTAGGTAAGGAGTTAAAATGCTTTCTTTTATTAATGCTTTTTATTATCCTACTGCAGACCCTTTATTTTCATATAGGAGTTTTCCTATAAGCTATTTTTAAACCTCTTCACAGTATAATGGCATTTTGACCTTCCATTTCTCTATCTACATGCAGTTGTATGGGTCATCGCTCATTAGAGCTAGAGGAATCAGGCTTTTGGCTCAGGGAAAAGGAAAAAGAAGTCCTCTGTATTCTCTGCAGAGGTGGAGCATGGATATGCCCAGCTCCCCAGGGCCCTGCCCTGCTGATCTAGCTGTATCACCCAATTCAGATTGTCCAGATATTTTATCAGGTTCCAATAAGTCCCTTGTTTCCCTGGTGACTCTATGTAAAGGATTCATGATCTGATCCAAAGTGATCTGCTTTAAAATGTGGGAAGGCATCCAAAAGGATGGATGTGGAAATCACCGTTGTGTCCTCAGTTCTTTCCTGTGTTACTGGGAGTTCATTGCTAGGGACTCTGAGGTGAGATTTCCTCCTCTGGAGGAGGAGGAGGGTGTTTGAGCCCTTGCAGCTTGTGGTGTGAACCTGCCAGGGGGGTGCGGCAGCTCTCGGAGGGTGTAGGCAGGGTGCAAGTCTCTGTCTGGTGGGACTGCTCGTGTGCATAGACAGCAGCGAGAGGGAGCAGAGTCAAAGGTGGCAAAAGAAGCCTGGACAGAAGGGAAATTTGTGGAAATCTACGTGCCTTAACCTGCAGTGCCTGGGCTCCAAGTGAGCCTTCCTACCTGCTTCTCTTGCGAGTCAAAGGCCCAGCATGGGCGGTATCACAGGTGTCCCTTGTGCCCTTTGTGTCCCCTGTGCTGCCCTGCCCAGACGGGAAGGAGTACGATGTGTACGTGTCCTACGCGCGCAACGCGGAGGAGGAGGAGTTTGTGCTGCTGACGCTGCGGGGAGTCCTGGAGAACGAGTTCGGGTACAAGCTGTGTATCTTCGACAGAGACAGCCTCCCTGGGGGAAGTGAGTATCTCACAGGGGGCTGTGCTCCATGCGCATCCCCTTCATTGTTCTTTGAGGTAGTGATCATTGATTGCAACACGCCTATCCAGATTATGTTTTGGTTTTTTTCCCTATCACTGTTAATGAACTCTTTTTAGTGTCTTCTAATGTTTTTGCTTCACGACAGTGTTGCAGATGCACCTGGCCACCAAAATGGCTGCTGTGGGGGTGGTGGTTGGTTGTTTCAGTTGCTCTTTCCAGGAGTGTTGTGCAGGAATGTCAGAATGGGGAACTGGAAAACTGACCTTCATGCAAACCCTCTGAGCTGCCTTAAAAAATGGGATAAAGTCAAGGCTAGAAGAGGCAGGGAAAGTGTTATACTGGATCAGCTCACAGAGAGTAATGGAGAATCCTTGTAAAAACCAGGAGCATCTACTTCAGGAAGGAGTGGAAGGTGTCAAAATCGGTGAGAGGATAACGTGTGTCCCATTCATCCTCATTAATTAGGGAGTTTGTGTCTAATATGGCATACAATTTAGCTGCTATTATTAAAAGACTTTGTTGCAGGTAGTGAGACTCATCTCTTCGGTAAGATGTAGTCCTTTTTTAGTATTTTGAGATAAATCATATGAGGTTCTGGACATTATGTCTGCTTCAGGGAGGCGGGGAATCACCAAGAATGGAAGTTTGTGAAGCTATCCAGATACACATACACAAGTTCCACAGCAAGGGCACAAATCTAGACAACACTCTTGATTTTTACTTTTTGGAGGCTGAGTTGGTTGTATGATCCTGATGCCTATTAAAAGTTCAAAGTCTGAATTTCTGCCAGTGCAGACTGTCCTGTTTTGAATTCATGGGCTTTGGCTCAGGACCCCAAAGTTCTTTTTTTTGGTGACAAAACCTGTACTAGGAAAGTCCATTGGGGTGTCCCTTTTGAGTAGGAACGGGGGGGATTCTCTGCCCACCTACCTGAAAAAGGGAGCAGAATCAGTCTGGGTTCTGTTATCTTTCCCTCCTAGATTGTTGCCAGGATCTAGGAGCACCTTAAAGTTTGAGGGTGAATAAATATGTATGTCTCAGTGAGACAGCTGCAATCCTGATGCTGTTCCTCCTTGAAGAGAGCTTGAATGATGTGGCAGGGCACCCTCCAGGCTCGATTTGCTTGATGCCAGTGTCAGGCTCAGAACAGGTTTGCTCTGAGCCATTGTCACCAGATGTCCATCTCCCTCCTGTTCCCTCTGCTTCTTCTTGCCCTGTTCACTTTAGAGGGTGTCATTTTCCTCCCAGCACTGCTCTCCTGGGCTCTCTGTGCTTCACCTTACCCCCAAATGTTTCCATCTGCCCCCCTCAGTCCCTGCCAGCCTCAAGCCAGTGCCAGCCCTGCGGGGTGCTGCTGGAGTGGTTTGTCACCACACTGCCATCCACGATGCTGCTGGGGCTTCCCCGGAGCTTCTAAGCCAGGATTTGACTAATCTCCTTCTCAGGAAAGCATGGGGGCCAGGAAATAGCTTTTGGCGCTGGCATCATGCCTCCAGAGTGTGCATCTGTGTCATGGGTAGAGAGTTATATTGTCCTTGATGAAGAAACAGTGGGAGATGGATTATCCTGTGAGTTAGCTGACAAGAACTAATCAAACGTGCTTGACAGCTAAATGAAGTTGTCTGCCAGCATTATTTTACTCTCCATTGTAATTTCTGACCAGTCAAGAGTGTTCCCTTATCAAGGAAGTGTGGGAGATTGTGCAGCAGAGAGTACAAGCACCCGGATTCGCACTTACAAGGGATTTTCACATTAATTACAGACGGTGGCCAAGGACAGTGTACCTGCAGATGTTAGAAAATTAAAGAGGATCCACAGTTACCATGACATATCTCTAGCTCAAAGGATGTCATTTTTGGGACACTTCACTAGAAGTCCTCAGAGTCAGTTCTAAAAATGCTCTAATCTGCTTTCATAGATGATGGCAGCAGGAACAGATGGATGAATAACAGGAGTTAGGATGGTAGCATTACCAAAGCAAATTATCCCATGAGAACACTTGGGGACAGTGTGAATACTTACTTTGTGGGGGAAACTGAGGCAAGAAGAGTGAAGGGAGTATCCAGAGTCATTCTGGACATCTGCCAGATGAGAATGTAAGCACAGACATTCAGGCTTCCTGAAGCTTCTTCAGGGTGAGTCTTTCCCTTGAGTTCATGTGTTATGCAGCTGGCAGTTTCCCTGCTTTGCTCCAGAGAGCCTCTTTTCCCCCTCTCATTAGAAGGAAGCTAAATCTCAGCCTGAGATCAGCAGCTCTCTTGGCCACAAGGCATCCTCACAGCACTGGGTGGTGTCACTGATGTGTAGTGCAGTGACTTTTAGGTGTAGCTCTCTTGGTTATCTCTGTGTAGCATGGGTAGAAGGAAAGGCATCTGTAGGTAGTCTGGAGTGATGGAGAATACCCCCACTGTATGGGGTAGTGGGAACCAGCCCTGGTGTAGGAAGTTCCACCTGGAGTCACAGGATTGGGAAGCACCAGAGAGGGTCTCCAAGGGATTTATTGTCCCTTTCAAGAGTCACCTGGTGTCACAGCAGCAGCTCAGCAGCACGTTCTTGGGCATCACTAACCACCTCAATGTTTCTTTCTCCCAGTTGTCACAGACGAAACCCTGAGCTTCATCCAGAAAAGTCGACGTCTGCTTGTTGTCCTGAGCCCCAACTACGTCTTGCAGGGGACACAGGCCCTGCTGGAGCTCAAGGCTGGCCTAGAGAATATGGCCTCCAAGGGCAACATCAAAGTCATTCTAGTGCAGTACAAAGCCATCAAGAAGAGCAAAGTGAAGGAGCTGAAGCAGGCCAAAGCGGCCTTGAATGTCATTAAATGGAAAGGCGAGAAATCCAAGTTCCCAAAGGGCAGGTTCTGGAAGCAGCTGCAGGTGGAAATGCCAGTGAAAAAAATTAGCAGGAGTTTAAGCCTTGATGGATTGATGCATATCCCTGAAAAATGTTTGACGCAATCAGAAAACAAGCCAAAACACACCTCAAAAATCCACAAGTTAGGCCAGGGAGTGGGGAGGAACTCAGGTTTTTTTCCATGAAGGACCATGTCCCAAGCATTTCAGAGGATAGTCATGTTTTCCCTGCAGCTTTGATATTGCTCTGTCATTAGAGAGACCGAAGATGCAAACACCTGCTTTCTGCAAATGTATGTCCTTGCTATCAACCACACAAGCCCTGGGCTTAAGGTCTAAATTTGCTATCTAGGAGGGATGCATCCAGCACCTTGTGATAGCATGGCCAGTACTCCTAGATCCAGTTCCTATGGGACCTTCATTAGCATCCAGGACAGATCTTCCTTCCAGTCCTAAGTAAATTCACTCCTTTCTGGTCCTCAGTTCCTATTGCAGAGGCTGAGGAACAATTTGCAAGGTAGCTCCAGTGTAGAGCCTTTCCTGCATGTCCCAGGTCTGTAGTCCCCATCACTTGTGGGACTCACAGACTCCTGCTGCACCGTGGGGGTGTGGACTTTTGAAGCTCCTCATCTTTGTTCCCCAAATTTCCTTTGAAGTAGATGGTAGTTTGGCAGTGGGAAATAGCTGTTACAGTAGCATTAAAAAACCCCCACAACTCTACTGGGTGCTATTTGCATTGTAGCACATCTAGTAACAAGTGGTCAGTCTCTGGGACTCTGCAGTCTCAAAAGTGCCCCAGGTCCTTCAGAGCTGCTTGTAATCCAAGGAAATCTCTCATGAGTACAGGCTGTGGAGTGTGTGAGAGATGTTTATTTGTAGAGTAAACTCAGGGACTTCACAAGCACTACAAGGAGCCCTAATGTACTACTGAACCTGCCTACTCTCTCTGCCACTGGCTGGGGGAAAGCATCGTGCAAGGTGCTTCCAAGGTCTTTGGAATGACATGGATATAAGTCCAACTCAGAAGGACACCCCAGAAACTTACTTGAACTTCCTAAAACTACTAGTTCTGTCCATGTAGGTAAGACTGTGAGAACAGGCTGATAAAGCTGGGGATGTTCTCCCTGGAGAAGGCTCCTGGGAGACCTTTTTCTGGCCTTTCAGTGCTTAAAGGGTGCTTATAAGAAAAGTGGGGACATTCTTTTTAGTAGGACCTTTTGCAATTACCCCTTTATGGACAAGGGGTAATGGTTTTAAACTAAAAGAGAGTAGATTCAGACTACATTTAAGGAGGACATCTTTTACAATGAGGGGGGTAGAACACTGGCACAAGTTGCCAAGGGAGATGGATTCCCCATCTCTGGAACCATTCAAGGCCAGGTTGCACAAGGTTTTTGGAGCAATCTGATCCAGTTGAATATGTCCCTGCTTATTGCAGGGAGGATGGCCTTTGAAGGTTCTTCCCAACCCAAATTATTCTATGATTTTATAAAGACTCTCTCTTCAATGCCTGGTTTTGAACAACGTTGCCATTTCTAATTCAGGGTTTAGGTTTAAACTAGCTTTGGCTTTACAAAGTCTCTCCCCATCTTGATTCCAGCCCAAAGCTGCAGAACATACAGCAGTATCTCAGCTTCTGCGACATTTGCACAAAACAGAAGCACAAAACCCCACTGTGTAGGTGTCCTTGCTTCAGCAGGAGAGGGCATGGTGAGTTAACCCCCATCACACAGTTCATGCTGAGGAGGGGAGTTTAATCTCTCTTGTAGGACAAGCTAAAGCACGGTGGGGCCCTGGCATAGACTGGTGCTATGGTTCACAATGTTTTCAAATAAAACTTCAGGTTCTGGGGGTGTCTCCATACTCCTGCAGCTCTCAGTGCTAGGACCTGCCCACTTAATTGTGGAGTTCGGTATTACACACACCAAGTGCATGCTTATTTTTATTGGTGATGGTTGCTCCTGAGTCACCTTTGACTCATGCATTTGCTCTGTTGGTGTCCAGTGGGTGGGGCATAAGCATTCATAATGGCGTTATAAAAGCACTACAATTAGGAGTCTATGCACTATTTACCCAGCTGAGCTGGGAGCTTTGAGGGCATCGCAGTAAAAAACCCAGCCTTAAAGGTGTGGGACTGGTATCAGGTAAACCTTTTTACCCTTAGCATTTTGTGATTAACAATGTTATTCCAGGGCCGCAGGGAGCTACAGCCCCCCATGCCCTTAGTCAGGTACTCTATGTCGTGTTTAGGAAAGGTACCCCATAATTCAGAGCTCCCCCTGAAACCATGTGCCCCTCATTTTCCCCTTCTCCCTCCTTCTGCAGAGGGAGGGAGAGGAGAATTGAAGGCACAAGAGGTAAAGATCCTGCTGTGAGATAAGAAAAATTTACTGGAAACAGCAATGAGATAAGAAAATGAACATTTACAACAGCAATACTGGTGATAGAGGGTACAAGAAATGAATCATTCCTGTGGAAAAACCCCCTGACAATTGACCACATCCAGCCATTCCTTCTGCTGCCCTGCACTGGCCCAGCTGCGCTGTGCTGGGACCCTTTCTCTCCAAAAGAGACCCCTTACCTCCACCCCTTGCAAATGCAGGGTGGTATAGAATAACTTCGGTGTCCTGAACATGCCCCCTCCTGACTGCTGGAAAAATGAACCCTGTCCTGGCTGGAACCAGGACACTGTACAGATGTGTAACAAATAGGGCTTCTTTCTTACTGTCCTCTTTATCTTTCCCACCCCAAATATACTTTGATTTAAGCAGGTAAAATTGCAGTCAGCTTCACTGGAGGCAGTGGAGTTCCTCATCTGCTCAGAGGTGCTTAAAAGTTTTGTTATGAGCTTTTCTATTGTGGTTGTCTGTGGAGGGACAGAGCTGCTTCTCACACTCCAGAAAACTTTGTTTATAAGAGATAGCACCCAAACCCATGCTTGGCTTTGTGAACCCATTGCAACCCTGTCATTGTGCCCAGCTTCACCTTTTTGTTTGTGTTTTAAGCATCTCTGTGATCAGCTGCCAAATCTGCAGGCAGAGGGAAGGCCCTGAAGCCAAAGCAGAACTCTGTTAGGTTCCTGTATGATTTTTAAAAGATTGACTCTCAAATACTCATAAATTGAATTGACATCCCAGACTTCACTACATCACATCTCACTTTTGCCTGAGTTACCAAGAGATTTTATGCTGATGTTTTATTAAGTCTGATTATTTTAGGAAGTTAAATGCACCTCATGTATTTTGATGATGATGATGATTTTATTGGAAGAGTTTTCCAGATAATTAATAGGCCTGGACTTTCTCAGGCATACACTGCAGTGGCCTTTGGTGTCATTGCAACCCCAGCACAGGGGTACTGAGGGACATCAGCAGAGCAGCCACAAGACGAAAGGTGCGAAGGTTTGGAAGGGACCTGAGAGGTCAGAGGGAGCAGTGTGCAAGGAACAGTCCAGAAGCAGGTTCCACTCACCCAGGAGCTTTACCACTGGCTTTGCTGGGATATTTCAGGCCAAGGGTAAAGCCCAGTCCCAGCTGTAAAGCAGATCTGCAAGTGCCTCAGATACGCCTGTCCTTTCATTCTATGCCACGTGCGGTTTCCATTGTGGGATTCTGTCACAGCATCCATCTGAATCAGTTGATTCATTTGAGTTTCTGTGCTCTAACCTAACATTTATCAATATGCAGCTCATGCAAAGTTCCTCATTGTTTTTTCATTGGGAAACAGCGTGGCACAAATTGGAAAAAATATCTTCCCTTCCCGTGCTGTTTGATGTTGTACAGCTGTTCCAGAGTTTTCCCTTTTCTGTATGTTTTTGCCTTTGTGTGATTTGTTTTGTGAAGTGTCAGTATTATTTTATTTTGCTTTTCAATAAAACATTTTCATTTTTGCATTTCAGTCCTTGTGCATTTCTCATAAGTACCATCTTCTCATTATGTCTACAAAATGCTGTTAAAGAAAGATGATTGTGTGTAGTCCAAGCATCAAGATCATTTGGGGCTCCTCCTTGGAATGGAACACTTTCCTGGCTGTTTCATGCTGTGCCTGCAGAGGCACCTGAGCTCCCAAGACCATCCAAGCAGAAACACAGTGACACACAGCATTCAGATGTCTCACAGCAGTGGACACGCACACACGGAAAGTCTTTGATCTAGAGTGCTCACTTGGCAATCACAAGACAGAAAGATGGGAAGGCAACATAATCTCTGCTTTAAATATCAAATCAGAATTTTAGAAATCTGCCAAAACCACAGAAATCAAGCTCACTCTCAGGCTACTTTGCCTATCAGTTTCTAGGTTCAGTCAGCTTCCTATTTTCTCATCCAGGTCACTTTCTTGCCCATTTCCCATGTTTGCCTGCCTGCAGGTAAGTTGAGAGACAGCCCAGCACTTCCAGACCACTAGCAAAATGAGTACCTGTGACCACCTATGAATTTGAGTCTATGGATGTGGGATCTGTGATCATAATCCTTATAATCTGTTACATCTTTGGGGTGCATTGGGGAGACACAAGTAAACCAGTAAAAATATGCAGTGCCTTTTGCAAACATTTAGTAAAGATGGAAGGTTTTTTAGTAAAAAGCAGATTAGAAAAATCTAATTAGAAAAATTAGAAAAAGAGTATTGAATCCCCAAGCCCCTGCAGTGTTATTGCTGCCTGTCCCATCCAGTGCTGTTTCACTGGGAGGGAACATTCTACCTGCACTGTGGAGTGTCTACTCAGGATTTTTCCTGAGCTAGGTAAACATTGCAAACTGAACATCCCAAGGTACCCTGGTCAGCCAAGTCTAAATGCATCCCTTTCTCAAAATCAAATATATCTTTGGATATATTTGCAAATATATCCTCCTTTATAAGTCTAAAAAAAAAGAGTGTCAAAAAACATGAGTCTCAAAATAAAAACTCTCAAAAAGCGTTGCAAATTCAAAATTGATAAAAGAAAACCAGCACTGTTGCCTCAATCAAAACATTTCGTTTCAGCAGCATCAGAGTCATTGATGTTAATTGAAGCTGGGCTTTTTGAGCAGGCAGGTAGACCTCCCAGGGGCTGTTCCTGCTTACATTTTGCTGTGGTTCTGTGATTCAGGTTTCAAAAAGAAAGACCTTTCAAACAGCAAAAGAGCTTTTTCTTTCACAAACTGTTGAAGCCTGGCTGTTTTCAAAATAGATTTCAATCACTTGTAGAAAAGTTTGAATGAGGTCTGGACTTAGGAGATTGCTGCCAATTCTTTATGCCTTTGAAATAGGGTGGAAAAAACGTGTCATGGTGGTAAGTGACAGAACTATCATCTACTTTTGGTTTCAATGAATTAGTGTTTTCCTGTGTGTGCTGGGGGTAAAAATCCCACCAAACTTTTTCTACAAGAAAAAAAAACCCTCAAAATAATTTTATTTTAATTCCAGTATTTTATTAACCAAACAGCCTCCTACTTTCTCCATTAGCATTTTACTGAATGATCATTTTTCCTATCTGGGTCTCCAAATAATCTAGTGACAATGAGTTTTACAGCTAGTCATACTTCTTTGAAAAGTACTGCTCTGTACCGTATTAAAATAAGGTGCATTCAGATGCAACACAGTGCACCTTCTGCTGTGAGATAAGAGACAACCAAGTGCTGGGAGAATTAAGAGGCATTGCCATTGCAGGGAAGGAACAGTATTTTTATTCATATAAAAGAGCAGTGTTCCACTGTCAGGGAGAGAGGAGAGTCTCCAGCCTGAGGAATGAAGGCTTTAGCAGTGTGAAATGGAAGGGAAGCAGGAGGTAGTTCTTCTTCCCAGAACAGCTCTTTGAAAGACATTCCTAGAGGCAGATTTTTCTCTCTGAATGTGCAAGAGCTCTTACTCTAATGATCCTTGTCTTGCTTGAACACCAGTTTGTCCTTGGATCCTCTCTCATCTCAGGCACCAGCACTTAGTAAGTGTATTGGTTTTTAAAATTTTTTACAGTTTTATTACTCAGCTTTTGTTAAATTGCTGAGTGCCACAGCCATATAGTCCCCATCCTTTTCACTGCTCACCCTTTAGCCACTACACCTTCAATATACTTTCTGTATCCCAAGCCACAGGTAGAAGTCCAAGGACTTCCTTCAGTTTGCTGCTTTTCAAAATTGGTAATAAAAGAAATGTTGCTCTTGCTTGGCACCATTTCAGCTAGGCTTCTTCCTGAGCTTTACATCTTGCAATTAATTCAAAGAAATGCTTTGAAGGACAGTATTTCCACCCCCCATGATGCCTAGAGGAACTGGTGGAGGGGTTTAAGGCTGACATTTTTGCTTTCTAAATTTGGAGGTTCTGCTTAAAGATGAGAGAGCATGACAGGGGGGAGGTGGGTCAGCCCCTGCAGTTTGAGCTGGGGCAGGACGACATGATTGCTTTGATGCCCTAATGCAAAGAATTGCTCAAGATGTGGGCAGGGGGTTCCCAAACAAGACCCACCCTTTATCAAATGCCTGCACTTCTCTGGGCACGACTGATGCTGTGCAGAAGTCAGAGTACAATCATGGCATATCCTGGCTTCTCATTTACGCCTCAGCCTTCTCAAAAACCCACTGCACAGCAAAAATTATGCCAGCAGGAGGGTGGGCAAGTTGAAAGTCACAGAGCTTGTGCCAGGTTTCCCTCTGTGGGAAGAGGGATCTGTGCAGGTATGCCACCAAACAGCTTCCTTAGCTTTTCTCTCCCCACTCCCTTCTCCTTGTGCACCCCAATTCCTCTACCCTTGTACTCTTAGATACCACTGAAGCCGTGTTCGACTTCATCCAGAGGAGCCGCAGGATGATCGTGGTCCTGAGTCCTGACTACCTGACAGAGAAGAGCATCAGCCTTCTGGAGTTCAAGCTGGGCATCATGTGCCAGAATGCCATAGCCACCAAGCTCATCGTGGTGGAGTACAGGCCGCTGCAGTGCACTCACCCCAGCATCCTCCAGCTGAAGGAATCCGTCTCCTTCGTCACCTGGAAGGGGGAGAAGTCCAAGCGCTCCGGCTCCCAGTTCTGGAAGGCGCTGCGGCTCGCCCTGCCGCTGCGCAGCCTGAGCGCCAGCGCCGGCTGGAACGAGAGCTGCTCCTCCCAGTCCGACATCAGCCTGGACCCCGTCCAGAGGAGAAGGAGCCGCTTGAAAGGGCAGCCCGACCCACGGGGTGCCACTCCTGTGACTCTCACTCACGGAGGGACGGCCTCGGCCTCCGAGTCAAAGGCCAAACAGCGAGCCAAGCGCTTCCTGACGTGCCGGTGTTGTGGGACCTCCTGCAATGGCAGCAGCAGACACAAGCACCAGGCCGTGGCTGAGCCCAGGTGGGACAGTCACCTCTGCAACCCGGGCTCGGGCAGGCCGCCGGCACAGGGCCTTCAGGGCAGGGCGCGAGCTGAGCCGCCGGCGGCACAGGGCCCTGCTCTCGCCCTCTGCCATTACAGTGACCTGTCAAACAACAATGACTTCTACGTGCTCTAACCCACAGGCCGAAGCACTGCTGGTGCTGGGCCACTGAAAGAAACTCACTGCGGCCTCAGGATATTTTTCCCATGTCACAGGCTGGCACGGTGCCATTAAGTGTCAGTGCCAGATCTGCATGGAGGACTGCAGCAATTCCACTGCTGGTGACCTGAGCCAGGGGCCTGCGGCCATGCACAGAGCAGCGGCTGGGGGCTTCCTACCCGGGTGCTTCTCCTGAGTTTAAATTACAAAGTGGAGCTGAAAATGCATTTCTCTGGCCTTGCTTTTCCACACCGTGGCTGTGTTTGCAGCAGGGCTGCTGCTGGGGTTGGGTGCAGGAGGGCAGGTCCCCAGCTAGGGCCTGGGAGGGAGGGAGAAGGGAGAAGCCATCCTGCTGGCAGTAACCTCTGGAGAAAGGGGAGCAAGCCTGCATTTTGCAAAGGCTAAAACTTTGCTAATGAGGGTAATGGGAGCCCCTGTCACTGCAGTTATCCGCTGTGGTCTAAAAGAACTTGCTCAACAGTTTCAAGACAAGCCCTTTCTCTCTAAATAAAATTGATTTCTTTAATCTGCTGTTGTAAAAAGTTCCATAGGAACTGGTAAATGCTGTATGTTCACCAGGCTGTGCCTGGAGATATGGTTTGCCCAAGCTGGCTGAGGTCCCCTCTGTTCCCTGAGCTTGCAATGGGCTCCTGGGCTTGGTCCCCATCTCCACTTCACCACATGAGGAATTTGTTCTGTCAGTTGAGTGGCCTTCCACGCAGCAGGAAAGAAAACCATTACAGGGAATATGATTAAAAAAATTCTCTGAGTAGCCAGTGAGCCCAGGGATAGGAGCAAGACCTCAAACTCTCACAGAAAACCTCCGGCGCTGAATCTGAGGGGTGAAAACTCAACCACACTTCATTAAATAACCAAAAAAGCCTTTGAACAGTCTCCCTGGGGCTGCTGTTTCATCAGTCTGTTGAGCTGGCTGTCAGCAGTGTTTCCCATTCTCTCCTGCACTGAAAACTTCATTTGCCTCATTCCACATTGTGCAAGGACTTCTCTCCCCACCAAGGAAGGGTGCTAATCCTGGCAGCCAGTTGCTCGCCTTCAGCTGATGCTTTGGCATGACAGTCCTGCTAATACATTGCATTTATGTTCTTTCCCTGAGACCAAAAAAGGTCTCCTTCGCCACTCTAGTCAGTCCAGTAATTGCATATCAGAGTGACAAGTAATTATTTTTCTTCTGCCTTGAAAATATGATCTGAGCCCTTGGGGTACAGGGTCTGGTGGCCCCAGGACCCCTATCTGATGGCCTCTGGTGAACTTGCTGGAGCTGTGAGGAAAGACGGAGCCATGTCTCACCCATTTTAATAATGCTGAAGTCCAGCTATAATTCATA